CTTCCATAATGATCATTTAACATTACTGCTACCCCTTCCTTTGCTCTAACTCTCTCAGATACTCCAGATTTAATCCCATTTATTTCCCCCACTGAAACTCTCCTACCCCTTCAGCTTTGTTTCGCTTAGGGCCAGGACATCCAACTTCTTTTTATTCTAACATCAGCAATCATCTGTTTCTTGTCATCCGCACTTATCCACGCACATTTAAGCAACCCAGTTTTTTTAAAGTTTTTCTTCTTCTCTTTTTTAGTAATTGTATACAGGAGAAGGGGTTACTAGCCCCTTGCTCCCGGGATTTTAGTCGCCTCATACGACACGCATGGCTTACGGAGGAAAGATTCTTTTCCACTTCCCCCTGGACAATAGAAGAAATAAAAAAGAACAAGAGCTATTTAAAAAAAAGGAGAAAACCTAGATGTATGTATATATATTATGCATGTGGTGTCTGTGAAGTGTGACCAAAGTGTAAGTAGGAGTAGCAAGATATCCCTGTTATCTTAGCGTGTTTATGAGACAGAAAAAGAAACCAGCAATCCTACCATCATGCAAAACAGTTACAGGTTTTTGTTTCACAGTCATCGGGCAGGACGGTAGTACTTCCCTGGGTGGTTGCGTTCCCAACCTACAAAAGAATCTCCATTTAGAGAAGGAATTAAAAGCATGCTCGCGTATAAAAAATTAATGGACAGCCCCTTTTTGGTATTTACCATGGCAAAACCCCATTTAATGATCCCATAATTTTTTTTAGCACCACAAAACCCTAAAAATTTAAACCCATGTAAATGTACCATAAAACCATGGGCTTTCCACAGAATTTCAATTATTTATCACCTACATTATTTATCACCGTCACGGATTGTGTTTTTTTTTTTTTTTGTTTTTATCACCAAATTTTTGTAACATGTTAATTTTTAAAATAAAAATGCAGCCACTATTTTTAGCTATTTATTATTAAAATAAAAAGAAGTGCTTAGCCACAAGGGCTATACAGCACTTTTAGCTATAATTTTTCAGTTTGTGCGGGGGGTTTTTTTTTTTTTTTTTTTTTTTTTTTTTTTTGCGAATTGAGAGTTTTTTTTATCGGGATTATATGTTTTCTCTGTTTCAGAGTTAAGGTAAATATTTTTGTTCTGGGTTTACATGCTTTTGCTTGGGGTTGCTTAAAAAAACAGTAATGTTTTATGATGCAGCAGCTTTACCCTGACAAAGCAGAGATGAAACACCATGCCTCTCGTGAAAAATGCTTGTTTTCACTACTCAGGAATGAAGGTCGGAAATCAGGACAAGATGTGGGTACCTCATCATTGCTGTATAACTGGTGAGTGGTTTGCTGGAAGGAAGTCATGTATGCCATTTGCAATCTCAATGGTATAAGGGAACCGAAGGATAACACAGTTTTATTTTTTTTTGTATCACGAGTGCATTGGAATTTTCACCAAAAAAAAAAAAAAAATCCAAAACAACATATCCAGATATTCCTTTTGAAATCATTATGATCAAAACTAAGCACTAAACCCACCAGGGTCATACAGTGCTGGTCTTGCAGTCAGACCAGTTGAACATTCAGAGGATCTCCGTTCTGGTACTACCATCCTGTAAAACTATATTTCCCTGGGATGATAAAACCACTAATTCATATTCCCAGTTTGAACCAGCTGGAGCTGATAACCAGGAAGCACATCTAGGAACTCAGTGACCTTAACGATCTTCATGCTATCTTAATTTATCCAAGGAACAGTTAGAGCCACTTGGGTCAAGATTGTGTCAATTGGAATTAACTGCACCCAGACACAAGAATCATTTTGTTTAGAAAGCAACAGAAAAGCCTAGGAACTTTAAACTGGAAGAATCGGTTACTGCAGCGCTACCAGGTCTGCCCTTAGCTCTTGCTAGAGGCTTAAAAGAAAAATGAAACAATGCACAAACTTGTCACTACAATGAGAAGTTTGAGTTGAAAACCTGTGGTGACCTAAAAATTATAAGCTTATACTGGAATTGCAAGGTGAATTGACAAAGTACTGCTGCTACCTGTACCTGTGGTACAATTAAGATGCATTCAATGTATAAGGCCAACTCTAGAATCATATGAGGCAGGGTTCATCTACCTAAGGGAGAAGTTTTCCAAAGTTAGTGACACCAAATTAAAAGAATGAATCTTTGTCAGACCTCACACCAGGAAGTTATTAAATGATCCTCGTTTTAACAAAAGTCTCAAAGATGCTGAGCTGCATGAGTGGCATTCAAGAACACTTGTGCATGTCTCTTGGGGAGTCATCACTGATGATCACAGAACTATTGTAGAAGAGCTTTTAACAGTATATATACCGAGACGTCAGATTCTCAAAATTCATTTCCTCTATTCTCAACTTTAATTTTTCCTGCCAAACCTTGGTGCAGTTAATAACGAATGCACTGAATAATTTCACAATAACATAACCATCTTAGAGAAGAGATATCATGGAAATGTGATCAGCTTTATGGCTTTATATGCATAAAAAAAATTCCTGTGATTGTTAAGTAATGAGTATCATGAAATTCTTAAAACAAGCCAAAATACTGATCATAAGATCTCAAAAGAGCCTTACATGATAGACTAAATAAGATCAGATTTGTTATCAGTGCATCAATCTTAGCTTAAAACACCAATTTGCTCTCTGAACTTGTTAAATTTTTTAGGCTAGTGTTATATTCATAGTAAAGTGCTGAACTCGTTAGGATCAAGCAGCACCTGGAGGGAATAGGATTATTACCATTAATATAATCAAAGGGAAGCATTAAACCCATAGTGGTCAGTGCCTGGGGAATGGTTGGCAATCAAGGTTAATCCAAACAAGGCTAGAGCCAATTTCTTGAATCAAGAGCCCTTCATTATTATATCCATGGAAAAGTGTTAAACCCATAGGGATCATAGAATGCCTTGGAAACAGAGATAGTTAGGTTTGACTCGAGAGAATAGATCCAATTCCTTTGATCAAGATCCCTTTACCAGCATTAAGGCACCCATTTGATGGAAGAACAGTGTGTAAAATTTCTACAATGTAGTAAATCATACTTTCCTTATTTACACTATAAAAACATAAGAATGAAGATTAACAAGCAATTGTAGATTTCAGAAACTGTCCAACATAATGAATTGGACAATGCTGGAAGGTACCAAGAGGACACTCGAGATTATTTTATTCACAAAGAAGTGCTAAACAAATGAGGGGGTTAGTGTGCAGGAACACAAAGATCACGTACATACTAGAAAAGTTTACACAAGATGAACCAGGAGACATCAAAGAAGTTTTGAACTCTGTCTTTAGTACAGTTCTGTAGTGTTATTAAAAGTATCATTTTGTGACCCATGCAGATTGAGCATTTTAGTTAATATACAGGCAAACAGCGCTTCACTTTAGTTTTTCACTAATACAGTGGTTTTTTACTATACCCATTCTTCATTTATTCAGATTTCCTACAATAAATATATTCACTATAAGCTAAAGAAGAAAATATTTTAAGGTATGTAATGTGTGCACTGTATGTGCATTTTTTAGGCATAGCTATAGTACTCACTTAATATATGATAGTGTAAATATATCAGGCTTTTATGTGAATTTGAAAGTGAAAAAAAGGCAATGATTCATTTTACAGTGATTTTTGCTTTACAGCAGTAGCCAGATAATATAAATAAAACATAATATAAACAAAACAGTCCCCAACTTGCTAACAAGTTGCATTCCTGGTGTTTCAGTATTTTATAGAAATCAGTACAGGTTGAGTATACCTTATTTGAATTGCTTGGGGCCAGAAGTGTGTCAGATTTCAAACTTGACAGATTTTGGAATATGATAGCTTGGGGATGGGAATATCTAAACCTGAAGATGGTTTATTTTTAGTAAAAATATGTTTTTAATGAAAGTAGCACAGCACATCAGATTATTATAATCAAAAAGAAGCGCTAAACAGCATCAGCTGTTACAGTAAATACTGGCAGACTGTCTCCACCTGTGATGCTCTATTTTGATTAAAAGCTATTATACACTATTTTTTCCCATCGGTGTTACCATTTTTACACTCAAAAATATCTTGACAACACAGGGCAAAGAAAAGCACTAAACACAGTAATCACAGTGAGTAATGTATGTAGTATTTAGTGGTTAGCTATGATTAATAATATTAATGCACATAGGTCTGGCAATGACAGATGTTTATAAACTGGCATGAACAGACCATCAGAGCCTCAATCAGGGTACATGAGGTCACGTCACATCTGTCTGGGTATGGAGAGACTTGCACAATGCCTGGTAACCTCTCCAGAGCTGAAAGGATTTTCCATTTGTGGCATCGTATCAGTGCTCAAAAAAAAAAAAAAAGCTTCAGATTTCGGAGCTTTTCAAATTTCATTATTTTGGATAAGGAATACTCAACCTGTAGTACAAAGGATAGTTATGTCTTATCATTTGTACTGAAAATTTGCAAGTGTAAGAATTTAAATGGTTTAGTATTTGTGAGGGTGGTCATAGCCTGGAGCATGTGTAAGCTAGGAAAATCCTGTATGCTTCATTCTAGTTTAATCAAATTAATTTGTTAATGTATTTATGAAAAAACATGTCAGTCCAGTCATACATCATGTATCTCAGGCAATGCCATGCTTTATTTCATTATGCAAGTGATTTTTTTCCCTTTATGCACATTTCATGAGCTTCATGCAACCAACTTCCGAGCACCAATGTGACGAGACAAATTATTATGCAGAATACATATTTTAAATCTTTTTAAACTATTCATTCAAACAGGATGAAAATTTTACATAATTCTACATGTCCTTTTGGAAAGGCAACTATGGAGTGAGTGATGGTCAATGAGCTTTCTTCAGGCATGATTCAAGACAGGGAAGAGCAGCTCCAATTTTGTAGAATACCATTGTCACACTGTAAATCAATCCAGTAAAAATATTGCCATAATTAAGCCATATTTATTAAAGTAATTTAGTTAATTCTGAAGAAATAAAACCCTTTTTTATGAAAAAAAAATCTTTGTATATTTTATTGGCCTACATGTTGTATCAGCCAACACCAGATATAATTTGTATATCTATACTGCATACATCATCATAATCTGCTCTTCCTTATAAGAGGGAGAAGTATGTGGTTAACAAAAGGGAATTATGATCCCCTACAGATTTTCCAAGTACTGTAATGTTTATACTGTAGATAGATCTTCCTTAAGCAAATATGCTATATATATATATATCTCAATCATATTCCTCTTCAAAGATGAGAAAGTTTAGAATATTATAATTAGTTTAATACAGACTCCATTTTAATGATATCAATTTGTACATAGCAGTAAAAATTGTCAAAACACTTTTCAGGATGATTAAGGGAAAATGAAGGAAGAATAAACAGGTAAACAACCAAAAAGTCAATTATATAAAAAGGTATAGAAAACAGTCATCAGTAAATGATAACTAAGGAAAATTTATAAAAAATTATACCCTATATACATAGTTTTAAGTTAAATAATGCAATGAAGGACAGTACCCAATCAAAATGGTCCCCTTGAGGAAACTACTATAAGCCAAAAAAAAAAAAAAAAAATTATGCAACTATTGCTAAGTTTTTCTTTAGACTGAGTGACCAAAAAATGCTAAATCGCTCTTAGTACTGCAGTGGGGATAAGTTTAAATTACTGTGGATACAGAAACCCCTTGAAAAATTAACTCAGTGGGTGCAGTAAGTGAAAATGTCCTCTAACACAGCAGGAAATGAAGAGTATTCAAACTCGTGGCAAATCAATCCTAAAACTGGCCACTAGACCACACATCAGCCTTAACTCTAGTACAGTACATTTTGCTTTTCTTCCACCACTATTTTTTATTCTCTGGTTTTTGTCTGTATTCTTATAAGCCAACTATCGTGAAAAATTTTTCTTGGACTATAATTTTAAACTGCTTTCAGATACATATAATATTAAAGAAAGTGTACACTAAAGCCTTGATTAGTACAAATTTGAATAGTACGCAATTCAATTTGGAACAAATTATAAAATACCAGACCTTATTTAATAAGTCAAAATTTGGTTAGTACAGTACGAGTGTACGGATCACCCCACTTGCCCAGTGTCACGTAGAGATGTACCATAGATTATCCTATACACGTACTGTATTTTATTTTTTTTTAAAACTGCCCTTAGCTAATATGGACAAATACAAGAATAATTAGTCTAAATAATGCAAGGGCAAAAAAAAAAAAAAGGGGGGGGGGGGGGGGAAGGCTTATAAGGGCAAAAAAATTGATGTAATAGTGACATGCACAGGGTGATAGCACCTCTAAAATAGGCAGAGATGTTGGAATGCATGAATCTATGGAACGTAATGCTATAAAACACACAGATGAAATAAAAGATAAGGGTACAGTTGTATTAGCTTTTTGGGGCTTGCTAACTACTACTAGAAACAAACATTACAATGAAAGAAATGGAGTGATTATCTGTGAGAGTACAAGACTGCAACCAAAAATGTATTACTCTTAGCAAAAAGCAATTCAAACAAAAGCTTAGTCTCTTTATGGTAATTAACCCTTTCAGGGTCGACAGGCCCTCTCAGAGATTTGTTGTCAGGGTCGGCCAAATTTCAAAAAAAAAAAAAAAAAAAAAAAAATTATGAAGACAGATAATCTTTTCCCAATCATAATGACACCAAAAGTATGAAATTTGATGGAAAACTTAAGGAATTATGCTCTCGCAAAGTTAGCGGTCTTGACGATATTTATGCATCGGTGATTTTGCCCACTTTGAGCCCTATTTTCGGCCAATTCCAGTGTACTTATTGACAAAAATCATAACTATTTCGTTAGAACTCATTTTTTCTATCGAATGAGTACAAGAAACCACCCATTTACCAATTTCAACTAGCCAGTACAGTGGTCGGAATTTAGCCAATTTCACACAAATTTCAAAAGATGCCAATTTCTGAATAGGGTCCAGAATAAACAAGAAAGACATTCCTGGCACTAAAATAGCATTTCCTCTGTTCATTAGTCATGTCCCCATGCCCCTCTTACATTCTTTTGCTTTCCACTTTGAATTTTTATTCTCACAAAAAAATAAGATTTACTGTTATGCAGACTACTGCATTGGTGTAGAAATGGTATAAATATCAGCGCACTTGTGAAAGAATATTAGACTCGCCAGTTGACGTGTATTGAACGCATAGCACAATTTTACTTTTGAACTTTGGTAAAAATCGAACATTTCTGCTACTTTGAGCGCAATTTCAAGGTAGTTTTCTTTGTAAAACCAGTCAAAATCATCTCAACTTCTGTAATATGTCTTCCATTCTATAAAATGAGACCAGGAAAACTAGAATACAACAATAAATACCATACGAAAATACAGTGCAAAGTCGCTGGTTTAATCCAAAAACACGGTCAAAGTTTTTTTGTGCTGCAGGATTTTTTTTTTTATACCACGCACACTGACCACATAGACCCATTCTTTCATATGTAGGCCTACCAGCTTTCTCTCACTAGATTTAAGGGCGCTAGAATTTAAGTGTACTAGTACGTCAAAAACCCTGATGCGTAAGCCGTACTTGTACGGCCGAAACCCTGAAAGGGTTAAAGAAAAGAGTTCATGCAGAAACTGAAGAAACTTTTATTGCAGGTAATGGTTTGTTTGACCATTTTAAAAATAAAAAACTGCATAATGTTAAAATTACTGGCGAGTCTGCCAGTGCAGATAGTGACAGCTGTTGTTGAAGAAAAAGACAATGGAGGCAGCTCAGTTTTGATGAACTGAACTCTACAAATGTCCATGACTTGCCTGAATCATGCTGCAAGAAATGACTGATGGAGACCTTAATATAGATCAATAGTGTGCATCTGAAGAATTAGACAATGTGCAAATGAAGGCATTCACCATCAAAGATTGCAAGAAAATATTTCAAGGTCTGGAAGTTTTAAAACGAGAGGTTAGGGATGCTGACCCTCAAAGCATGCAAGTCTGCCAAGATACAGATAAAGTTTTCAACAAATACAAGCACATGTATGAAGACTTGGAGAAAACATTTCTGCCTAGCCTACTAAAATATTTTTGTTTATAATAAACTAATAAGAAATACATTTTCATTATCTACTGGTAATATATTAAAAATTTCATTAAATACTCTATTTTCATTGGAGTGGGACCAATTACCATACTTTGTTATAACAACTTAAAATAGTATGAATTCAATAAATGAGATTAGCAGGATTCATTATTTGTACTAATTGAGGCTTTGCTGTAATCTTAAACATGAGCTTCAGTAGGTATTAAAAAATATTTAAGGCAGATGTACCTAAGATGGTTTTCTAGTCAACATATAATATATGCTCCTTCTCTAAATAGCTATGCATGCAAATAAACTTCATATTATATCCTGGCATTTTACACTACCCACCACTGCATAAAAAATTAATACCTTGAGAAATTTAAAAAAATAATTCCTTTTATCAGCAATAGCTATATCATTGAGTGATCAATCCCACTTCACTGGGAATTGAGTAATAAATGACAAAGTAAATTTCCATTTAATTAAATGTTATGTAATGAATAATATACAGATCAAAGTATATGGTGTAATCTACCCATGCCTCTTGAACCCTGCATGAGAGACCCGCCACACTGAAGATTTAACATAAATACTTAAAACAGCAGCACAGACTTATAGTTGTTTCATAATGTTTGTGTGGTGATGCTGTTTGATTTAACATGCTGCTTATCACATGCTTCAATAAAAAAAAATGCCTAATTGGCTTTTTTGTACTCTATTCTTTCCACTTTGACTTCATCCCCAACCAGCTGATAAACGTAGGTGACGACTGTGGAGCTCTGAATATCCATTAGCACGAATGATGGTGTGATCTCTCTGGAAAGGAAGAGAATATGAATAATAGAGCTTCAAAGCATTAGAATAGTAACACTGTAGCCATTTTTTTTAGTACTTTACTGTCAACTCTTAATATAACTCGGGAGCATTGCATGGACACACTTATAAGAAGAAGAATAGGAGATTACAATAGAGTAAAACTTGTTACGTTTAATCTTTATACCAGGAATCAACTTGGGTAACAGAACCATGACAAACTCTGACAACAATATGCAACTGTTGCTACAGTAATTATATGACAAAATTACTTATATATTTTTGCAAATATATAAGTAATTGTCCTTGGAAGCAAAGAGGGGAATGTATGAGAGTATAGTTTTACCAACGCTCTTATATGGGTGTGAAGCGTGGGTGATGAATGTTGCAGAGAGGAGAAGGCTGGAGGCAGTGGAGATGTCATGTCTGAGGGCAATGTGTGGTGTGAATATAATGCAGAGAATTCGTAGTTTGGAAGTTAAGAGGAGGTGCGGGATTGCCAAAACTGTTGTCCAGAGGGCCGAGGAAGGGTTGTTGAGGTGGTTCGGACATGTAGAGAGAATGGAGCAAAACAGAATGACTTCAAGAGTGTATCAGTCTGTAGTGGAAGGAAGGCGGGGTAGGGGTAAGGAAGTTTTGTGTGCGAGGGGCTTGGACTTCCAGCAGGCATGTGTGAGCGTGTTTGATAGGAGTGAATGGAGACAAATGGTTTTTAAATACTTGACGTGCTGTTGGAGTGTGAGCAAAGTAACATTTATGAAGGGATTCAGGGAAACCAGCAGGCCAGACTTGAGTCCTGGAGATGGGAAGTACAGTGCCTGCACTCTGAAGGAGGGGTGTTAATGTTGCAGTTTAAAAACTGTAGTGTAAAGCACCCTTCTGGCAAGACAGTGATGGAGTGAATGATGGTGAAAGTTTTTCTTTTTCGGGCCACCCTGCCTTGGTGGGAATCGGCCAGTGTGTTAATAAAAAAAAAAAAAAAAAAAAAAATTGCAATACAAAAAATATTTCTTATTTCTCCCTTTCTTCATCATGTTACTAAATAGATAATGCGACATGAATATTTTGTATTTATATTTGAATTACTATTCTTAATATGTAAAAAATCTATTAATGATCCTTTTCTTTGTCCCTATACCGGTTTGCCTTCTTGCTGTGGCCATAATCTCTCGGCACTAGGATTCTGAATCTTAAGAGCATGTGCTACACTATTGTTTTCAAGCATGAAAAACATCTTCTCAAATTTGATTTCATGAACCACTATAGGAACATGACCTATCAGCTAAACTTCATCAGAATGGATCAAAACTGCCACTTATTTAGTAGTTGTAATTCTTTTGTCTCTTAACTGATGTGGAGAGGTGACAAGTACTGTTCTCATCAGGAGGTATAGGGGCATTCAGTTCCCCCCTTCCCCCACAAAAAAGGGGCAGAAAAAAATACACAAAATAAAACACATTCTTATTTTCTACTGCCTCTACTGTATAAGGAGGCCATCTGGCTGAAGCCATCCATTCTTCATACTAGACTTGTCAGCTGACATGAAGACAATGGATTCTATTGTTCACTAAACCAACCCCAGAAAGTTTTCATACTTCAAAATGTGTTAGGTGAACCGAGTCTGATTAACTGCTACAGGAATGTAGCAACAGTACCAAAATTGAAGGAGACAGCTGCAGGGACAAGACAGGTATTGTAAGATTAATGTGGTTAACCTGCAGCTTAAGCCATTTTTTGTGACATGTGGAAATACTTCTCATAATGACATGTGCAATGGTTCTCGTTTGTGGGATCTGAGCAAAGCCCAGCATCCAACAAGGAAGATTGAGCCTCCAGCTAGCTTGAAAAATCCTGGCCATACATATAAGCAAAATGTAAACTAAGTATTTAGTTATTGTATATTTAATATTGTTTACTATTGCTGTTTTATACTATTTACCAGTTTAATGTGCATCATCCTATCCTATACGTACGTACTTAAATATACAATTATTGCAATGCTAATTAAGATAAGATTTCATTCATATTTTTAACCCCAGAGGGTTAGCCAACCAGGATAACCCAAGAAAAGCAGTGCATCATCGAGGACTGTCTGTCTTATTTCCACTGGAGCTCTCAAGCTTGTCCCCCACATTGCGACCCACACCAGTTGACTAACACTCAGGTACCTATTTGCTACTAGGTGAACAGGACAACAGGTGTAAGGAAAAGTGTCGAAATGCTTCCACCCAGCTGGGAATCGAACCCGGGCCCTCTGCATGTGAAGCGAGAGCTTTGCTAGCCAGGCCATGGGGCCACTATTTTATCATTGCATGTTTACAATTTTTAATTTACTCGGACACTGTTCACTGACACCAACTTTGTCCATTCATTCTTTTATTAAAGATAATACTATTACCACTTAATACTCCATTTACAATTCATTATAATTTAATAATATTTACCAGTAATAATCACTGAAAACACTAATGACCACTACTCCACCTTCCTCCTAACAAACATTTCTAAGCAACCAATGGGACAGAATAAGATCTCATTTCGACTCCATGACAAGGCATCAATGAGTGACTTCACCACAACATTAAGTTCAGTTGACTGGCCTGCAGAATTTACCAGTGCTCAAAGTGTTGACAAATGGATAGAAATTTTCCTTCAAAAAATACATAGATTATACAACAAACATTGTCCCATAAAAACTAAGCAGATTACTACTAAACAACTAGGTTTCCCATGGCTTATAAATAGCATCCTTAGATCCATAGATAAACATCATTATGAAAATAACATAGATGGGGCTTAATAATTAAAAAACTTGGTAAAAACTATACATCAGTCCTCGCCAAACTGATAACGTCTAAGCAACTGCATTATTCTAATAGGTTCACCGAAACGAGAGGAGATATAAAAAAGACCTGGATGACATACTCAGATTTTGGGCACCCAAAAAGCTGAACAAAACTAGAGATATTGTCCTAGCTAAACCTGATGAACCACAACTTCAGCCTACTGAAACAGCGATAAGATAAATAATTTCTTCTCAACCACAGGATCAAGTCTCACTAGCAAAATTTCAAACACCAATACCTGGGTGATATTTAGATGGAAACTTCCCAACATCCCTCTATCTTGCTCCAACTGAACCCACTGAAGTCACCTTGATTAATAATTCATTAAAAAACAAACCAGGAAATCTAGTTCAGGTTCCACTACTATTGTTCAAATGAGTGGCTCATGTCCTCTCACCCCACCATTACATTACTTTTTAACAAATTACTAGAAACCAGCACTTTCCCTACTTTACTCAAGATAGCAAGGGTTACTCCAATACAGAAAGCTGGAGATTCAACAGATATAAACAATTATTGGCCAATACCTAACTTTCCTTTGCTATCCAAAATTTTTGAGAAACTCATACACAGGAGATTACACTCGTTTATAACATCACAAAGTATTCTCAACCCCTGCCAGTTTGGCTTCAGGCAAAGCAAAAGTACAAGTGATGCAATTATAAAAATGCTAGACCTACTTTACACAGCGCTTAGAAATAATGAATATCCACTAGGGCTCTTTGTTGACTTAAGGAAAGCTTTTGATAGAGTAGACTACTGCATCTTACATCACAAACGTGATCATTATGGCATCAGAGGTCATGAACTTGCATATATACCTTACTAACAGACAATAATACATCTTTACTGAGGACACAACCTCTTCAACAAGACCTCTGGACAAAGGCATTCTACAGGGAAACATCCTTGGCCCCCTGCTTTTCCCCTTATACATCAACAGTCTTCCAAACGTATCGCAGCAACAGAGACCTATTCTCTTTGCCAACAACAAAACTTCTGTCATCTCCCACCCAAATTTTGCACCACTCAACAACATATTTAATGAAGAGCTCTTAAAAATATCAACCTGGATGGCTACCAAAGAACTCTCATTTAACACTGACAAAACCTTCTGTTTGGGAGAAGATCAAGTAATGTCCAACTAAACGTCACGATTAACAATACTCTTATAGCTAAACATAATGAGAGAAAACTTCTGGGTCTGTTCCTTGAGAGCAACTTGAAATTCAACACCCACACCCAACACATCACAAAATAAGTGTGCAAAACAGTTGACATCCTCGCCAAGATACATTATTATGTTCCACAAACAACACTACTTACATTATACTATTCACTGATGTGCACCTACCTCACCTATGCTATCTGCACCTGGGGATCCACAACAGTAAATTCCCCTAGGCCAAAAATAACTCAATAAAAGGCCACAGTACGAACGATCACACAGTCTAATGCCAAAGAACTCCCACCCCATTCTTCAAAGACCTAAATCTACTTAGTATACAAATCATTCACTCTTATTACTGTGCATCCTACATATACAAAACAATAACTTTTAAGATTAATCCTGACCTGAAGCACTTCCTTAATAGATGCAACAGGACCCACAAACATAATACTGTACTAGACACAAAAATCTCTATGACATACCCAATGTCTGGTTTAATCTTTGTAAAACCTCAATGTACATAAAAAAAAACAAAATCTGGAACTCCATGTCAGAAATCTCCAGAGCCACACTTCTCTGTCAGCATTTTCAAAATTACCACAAAACAACCCTCTTTCCCTAATATATTCCAACAATAGCTAAATATGATAAAACTACATATATACAACCTCTCCTCACTTAGCGACGTACTTGTTTATCGATGACTCGGACTTACATCAGGCTCGCTGACCACTATGCATACCTTAATAATGTATATTTGAGCTGATTTCCTCTGTCCTGCTTATTACAATATACGTACAGTACAATACTATATAAACATTTAAAAATATACTAAAAATTTTATAAATGGTGCAAAGATGACATTAAAACAATATCAAAGATGGTTGACATAAATCCACTACCATCATAGTATGCTCCTTGCTTAGCGACGAACTCGTTTACTGACATGGTTTTAGAAATGGAACTCTGTCATTAAGTGAGGAGAGGCTACATTCATATTCTCATTACCACAAGTACGTACATGGAAAACTACACAATGGTACCCAAAGTTTTGGCCATCATTCATTCCAGAAGGCTGTTCGAGTGCCTTTACCAAACGAATTTATTCCCATAAGGAATAATGTAAATTAGAGTGGTCTGATTCAGACCCCCAAAAATACAGTTACAAAAGCACTTACAATAATACACTTACATATTTGTTCGAGTTAGGAGCTGTACGAAACTTTGGGTACCACTGTACAGTGGACCCCCGGTTAACGATATTTTTTCACTCCAGAAGTATGTTCATGTGCCAGTACTGACCGAATTTGTTCCCATAAGGAATATTGTGAAGTAGATTAGTCCATTTCAGACCCCCAAACATACACGTACAAACGCACTTACATAAATACACTTACATAATTGGTCGCATTCAGAGGTGATCGTTATGCGGGGGTCCACTGTACAGTGGACCCCCGCATAGCGACTTTAATCCGTGCAAGAGGGCTGATTGTTATGCGAAATGATCGGTATGCGAATGAATTTTCCCCATAAGAAATAATGGAAATCAAATTAATCCGTGCAAGACACCCAAAAGTATGAAAAAAAAAATTTTACCACATGAAATATACATTTTCCTACACACAAAGAGAAGGATACATGCACAATAGTAGAGTAGTACATGCACAATATATATTGTGCATGTACTACTCTACTAAATGAAGAATAAATGACACTTACCTTTATTGAAGATGCAGCAATGACTGATGAGACACTGTGTCCTGGGAGTGCCTTTTCCTCCTGAGTACTGTAGGTCCTGTTTGGCATTTTCTTCCAGAACAGGCCTTATCACACTGTATGCCACTACGATTCTTAAATCTCTCAAACCAACCTTTGCTGGCTTTAAATTCACCAATATGAGCACTAGTTCCAGGCATTTTTCCCTGTTCAACTGGGTGTTAGTCGACTGGTGTGGGTTGCATCCTGGGAGACAAGATTAAGGACCCCAATGGAAATAAGCTAGACAGTCTTCGATGACACTGACTTTTTTGGGTTATCCTGGGTGGCAAATCCTCTGGGGTTAATTGTTTCTTGGTATTCTCAATAAGCCACACCAACAACGGTGCTACAGCAGCAGCAGCAGCAGCAGCTGACAGTGCTACAGCAGCAGCAGACGATGCTACAGCAGCAGCAGACAATGCTACAGCAGCAGCAGACGGTACTACAGCAGCAGCAGACGGTACTACAGCAGCAGCAGCAGCTGACGGTGGTACAACAGCAGCAGCAGCTGACAGTGCTACAGCAGCAGCAGACGATGCTACAGCAGCAGCAGATGGTATTACAGCAGCAGCAGCAGTTGACGGTGGTACAACAGCAGCAGCAGCTGACAGTGCTACAGCAGCAGCAGACGATGCTACAGCAGCAGCAGATGGTACTACAGCAGCAGCAGCAGCTGACGGTGGTACAGCAGCAGCAGCAGCTGACGGTGCTACAGCAGCAGCAGCAGCTGACAGTGCAGCAGCTGACAGTGCAGCAGCAGCTGTACCACCAATAGTAGCGATGGTTGATTGGGGTTTATTATACAACCTGGCCAGCTCGGAGACACGCACTCCACTTTCATACTTATCAATGATCTTTTTCTTCATCTTTATAGTAATTCTCACCCTTATTGCTGTAGGGTTGGCACTAGAAGCTTACTTGGGGCCCATGGTCACTTATTTTGCAGATAAAATCACCAAAAACACTGTAATAATACGAAATGTTCCGATTGTATGCTTGGATGTTACCGCGGAGGCTGGCTGGTAAACAATGCCACCGGCGGCACATGTGAGGCTGGCTAAGGGTGCACATTGGACGCGTCTCGGACGAAGAGCGGTGAGCGGGTTTTTGGGCGGTATGCGAGGCAAAATTTTTGCGATAAAAGCGAGCGGTATGCGGCTTGAACGGTATGCGATGCGTACGGTATGCGGGGGTCCACTGTATATTCTTTTTCCCATTATCTGTAATATTCACACTGACAACTATTAATTATACTGAAAGTGTTCAAAATGCATTAATAAGCAAGAATCCTCATTACCTGTAATTAAAATCCAAACTGCAATCCTTAAAACAATTAAACTCAATGAATGTTATATAGAGTGTATTAATATGCTATTCAATTCTCGTGTTCCTCATAATTTCTAAATTTAATGTTATAATCACTTGGAGATCATATATATAAAAGAAATCAAATTAATTATTGCTATATTAGTCTTAAGTTTGCCCAAAATGCTCTGCATACTAAGGAGCTTTCCGCATGCACATCTAAATGTCACCCATCTCTTTACAAACACTGTATCATGCTCAAATAAATAAATACAAATAAAATAATTATATTCCTCATTCTGTACCTGTATCATGTGGCAGGAATTAAAGAGAAATGTTTTAAGCTCTTCTTCGAAGGTAAAAATTTTCTAGAAAAAACTTTTTATGACACTCTTGCTATACACTATACATAAACGTACCCTAAGTAACCCCTTCTCTTGTATAAATTACTAAATGTAAAAAGGAAAACTAGTTTTTCCTTTAGTTCACCCTGCCTCGGTGAGAGATAGATGGTGTGTTGAAAAAAAAATGTATCGTACCTGTAACAACTGAAAAACACCAATACAGTGAACAAAATAACATGAAAATACTTTTTCCATTAAACAAAAATACTTAATTTTTAAGAAGAACCTTACCCATCCAGAGCACTGTAAGATCCTGTAGCTGAGCCAGGATTGATAAAGAACCGAGATTCCGCTTCGAATGCTTCAAATTTGTGTGTGTGACCTGAGATGAGGATGTCAGCATCCAGCTGTCTGGCAATGAGGGAAAGGGCTGCAGGATCTCCCCAGGGAACTACTTGATGGCCATGGCACATACCAATGCGAAATTGTCCTACTGTCACCACTTTCTGTTCTGGATAACTGGTCTGCAATAATAAATATAAACAAAATAAATCAAAAGGCACATTATAGCATGAATGGTGTGGAAAAAACACCGGCCTGAGTGTATCAATAGCTTCAATGGCCTTGAGATACAATACAAGACATTCCCAAGAAGTTCATGAACCTATCAATGCCGACTTGAAATGCACAGTACAGTCATACCCCACTTACGTCACTTCGGCCTACGTCAAATTCACCTTTACACCACTTTTCTACAGTAAATTTCATTTCAGTGTATGTCATTATGTCCGACTTTACGTCACTCAGCAATGTCACCTACATTATAATTTTTTGTGCTCATTACTCTTTTAGTGTTCTTTAAGATTAAACAACAGTTATATTCTTACGCGAGTTATTTATGCTAGTTTTAGTTTCAGCTTAGTTTTATCATGTTTGTCATTTTAAGACATTTTTAAGACATTATGTCCAGTTTATGTCAAAAATTGGGTTACGTCACAGTTCCTGGAACCAATTAATGATGAAATGCAGGGTATGACTGTACTATACTGACAAAGCTGACATCATATTGGAATCCCAGAAAAAGGTTCTTTCCAATAAGAAACTGTTTTGGGTTCAAGAACAGCAGCAGTATTGGGAAATGAAGAGGATGCAAGTGCTGAAACACATGCTTCTTGCCAATTAACTCAGGAGTCAAGAGCTAGCACTCATATTTCTTCAGATATGACTCTAATAGCATTAGTATATGCTGTGGCACCTTGACTTACGAGTTTAATCCGTTCCGTGACCTAGTTCGTAACTCAATTTGCTTGTATATCGAATTAATTTTCCTCAATGAAATTAACTGAAATGCCATTAATCTGTTCAGCGGAATTTCTGCTCTCGGGAGGTAAAAGAAAATACTTCAATATGATGCTAATATCAACTCTACGGCTTATTTACTTACCATAATTGATCTAATATGACATAATAAACAATATAAATAACACAGAAACATGATATATACTCTAGAATGAATAAAATATGTCATTATGTGACGAGTGGTGGCGGCCACTCCCGCTCCTGCTCTGACCATATCTTCCTATTCTTCCCCTTCTGAAAACGGTGTTTGTGAGGCTAACTGCACTAGATCACTAGTTTCATAAGGAAAACACTGAAACAATGTATTTATAAATAAGAAATATTGTATAAAAACATAATATAGTACGTACAGGTACACTTTCCTTTATCCGAAACCCTTGGGGCCAGTAGTGTTTCGAATTTCAGAAATTTTCAAATTTCAGAATGACGGTGGGGTCTAGGGCAGCACTCCATAATTAAACATTAACACTGCAGCAAACACATATGAATGCTCACACTAAGTGGGATAAATAAAGACTACAAATACTAGTACGGTTTATTTATAAAGTAATACAGTGGACCCTCGCCTAACGAATGCATCGCATAACGTTAAATTCGCCTAACGATACATTTTAACGCTAACATTTTGCCTCGGCTAATGCTAAAAAACTCGCCTAACAATATTCGTTTTCGGGTACCAATAATATCGTTAGGTGAGGGTCCACTGTATAAAAAACCATACCCCCGGCCGGGATTGAACCCGCGGTCATAGAGTATGGTTTGGTTTGTTTGCAATCGTGTCATTACGATTTCTTAAGTCCACTGTATACTGATAAATGAAATAATGGGATAATTATAGACCAGGAACATGATTCTCAAGTGATGAAGCAGCACTATGACTGACGGCATTTTTAAAGACTTAACTGATTGCACATTTTCACCATATTGTCTATGAGGACTTTTTTTCACCTGTGTTCACAATGTCATCATCATCACTACTATTCTTATGCTTATTTGTATTTAACACCATTTCTTTCAATCATAAACAGTGGTAGTTCCAACACCATATTCTTCAGTAAGATGCCACACTGACACACCACAATCAAGCTTCTGCAGTAACTCTACTTTCTACGCTATTAATAATGTCAGATGCTTTCTGTTCTTTTTCTCACTGTTACCCATAGGGGTATCTGTAGCTCATTCTGACATTTTCACAGTGAAATTAAACACAGTCACAAAATAAAAAGCAAAAACAAAATATCAGTGAACAGCAGACGCACATGTAAACACTACAAGCGCTGAGACACAACTGATGGCTGCCACTCTGGCTGTCAGTGACTGATGCTCCACATTCCATGAAAAAACTTTGGTTTTTGGAACTTTTCGAATTTCAGAATTTCGGATAAAGGAATGTGAACCTGTAAAACATAAGAGAGAATGTAAAGAAATAAACTGGTTTTGTAAAGTGTATGTATTTACCTTGGAGAACAGATGCTGGGGGAGGTGGAGGGTAGAAAAGATAGGCTACTTGCTACACTCTTAATGCTACACTTTATCGCTGAACTTAATTGACCCTCAGTCACAGTATCTCTTGTGAAGTGCTTCTCCATCAACCGCATCAACAGTAGCTTCTCCATCTTTTCGTGGACAAAGGTCTGTGGCTTAGAAATTATTGTAACGCCCTTGGCTGGCACTATAGCCTTTATCGACTCCTCCTGCTTTAGTATCATACATATCATAGAAGCACTATGCTGGTACTGCCTGGCTGAGTCCACAACCCACACACCTCACTCGTGTTTATGATTTCATTCTATAATTCAATGGACATTATCCTCTTTTTCTTCTCAGCACTTACTTTCTTAGACCCATGGTAAGAACAAAGAAATTTGGCAAAATAATTGCACAAAACGCAAGCACAACACAAGAGAAATGCTTGCACGGTGAGGTAAACACGTGCACTGCTGAGCAGATGTTGTGGTGTTCACTACGCCAACTAGTGACGGCGTTCTGGAGCCTTCCTGTAACTTGGATTTTGGCTCGTAACTCAAAGCAAAAAATCAACTGAGCAACGACTCATAACTCAAAAAACTCATATGTTGAGGCACTTGTAAGTCGAGGTTCCACTGTACTGGTACAAAATAAAAATGGAATGAAAATACCTAGTTAAATGTTGCAGCTCAAATGTTGCAGCTCAAAATAAAAATTTTACTTATAATAAGTAAAATTTTTATTTTGAGCTGCAACATTGCATTGAAAGTTCAAACAGATGCACAATACAGTCTTTCTTAATATTTAATGTTGCTCTAACAGCACTGGTAATTTAAGTCATAAACTGGAAAAAAAAAAGTTAAAGAAATGGATCCAGTAAATGCATTGTGAACTGAACATTTCAAAATACTGTATCCCCTTCAGCTGATTTTTAATTTTAGGCAGCGAGCAGTGAGCTGTAAAATTAACGTGGTCTTATTTCTTTATACTATGTGAGACTTAAGGAATTAATGCTGAAATTCTTGGAAAAGAAAATATAGATTCTAACAAATTCACCACAAAAACTAAACAAACCATAACACGGGCGGAGATAGAACCTGCGATCAGTCTCAAAACTCTCTGAGCACAGGTTCTATCCCCACCTGTGGTATGGTTTGTTTGCAATCATGTCATTACGATTTCGTGACTCACAAAAACTAAAATTTTGTCAATTAGGATTCACGAATGTAAACACACCTTAAGGAGTTTTCTTAGAGGGGAAAAACTGTTTTGGTGCATATGTAGTATCATACAGTATATGCATGGCTCCATTGTTTTATATGTAAACATGTCTACTCCTGTATATTTCTCCCCGACTCGACTCACGAAATCTTAATGACACAATTGCAAACAAACCATATCATGGGAAGGGAGAGAACCCGCGATCAGAGAGTCTCAAAACTCCAGACCATTACGTTAGCCACTGGACCAGCTAGCCACAATAAGATTCATCCAACTAGGTATATTTCTACACCATAGGAAGGTTAGCATAGGCCCCACTGTGACCACAAATGCAATTTTTACAGACGAATCTCCAGCTAGCATGGCCGTGACAAACTCTAGCTCAGGTCTCTTCAAAGCCGTCCAGTGGCTAACGTAACGGTCTGGAGTTTTGAGACTCTCTGATCGCAGGTTCTATCCCAGCCCGTAGTATGGTTTGTTTGCAATCATGTCATTACGATTTCGTGAGTCATGTTGACGGCTTTGAGGGGGCTTGAGCTAGAGTTCACCACAGCCACGCTAGCTGGAGATTTGTCTGTAAAAACTTGCATTTGTGGTAACAGCGGTGCCTATGCTAACTTTACTATGATGTAGAAATATACCTAGTTGGATGAATTTTATTGTGGCTGGCTGGTCCAGTGCCTAATGCAATAGTCTGGAGTTCTGAAACTCTCTGATCGCAAGTTCTATCCCCGCCTATGGTATGGTTTGCTTATATTTCTCCCCCTTGTGTTAAAAATAACTGAAGAGGTTAGCTATACACCGCAGCAAGTGCTCAGCATACCATACATGCAGAAAACTGGCCTGTTTTCTTAAAAAAGTTTGCAAGAAAAACTAATTTCTGAACAATTTACCTTTAATTCTAGCAGCCTTTCAAATGAATACATTATCACCTGGGTAATTCTATTAAATGTACTGGTCTAGTACCTGTGAGCTCTCAGGGTGATGCAATAAACATTTACTGTGTTCTTACAAAATCTAAAAGTCTTCCAAATTGTCTAAATATCCAGCATAAATATTCAATTGGCCTTTTTACCAATCCCCCCCAAAAAAAAAAAAATGCTTTTAATACAGAAGACCATATCATCCTGCTGCTCAAATTAAAACATTATGGAATAGGGGCCATGTTCTTAAGATTTTGTTTGGATTTTTAACCCTAATTTGTTAGCCACCCATGATAACCCAAGAGTGTCAGTGCATCATCGAGGACCGTTTGTCTTATTTCCATTTCGGTCCTTAAATCCTGTCCCCCCAGAATGTGACCCACACTAGTTGACTAACACCCAGGTACCTACTTGCTTGCTAGGTGAACGAGGACAACAGGTGTAAGGAAACACATCCAATGTTTCACCCTTGCTGGGGATCGAACCATTGACACTGTGTGAAGCGAGAGCATTGCCTACCAGGCCATGGGACACCTTACAAACAGACTTACCTC